TACGTAAGTAGGAATGCCCAACCTTCCTTCCGAGGAGTGGCTGGTGGGTTTGAACCGCCAGCCTTCTGGTTAGCAGTCAAGTGCCTTAAGCACTATGCTACCAGAGCTCCTTTCAAGTTGTTAGTTGTTGTTATTATTTTCAGTGTTTGGATATAATTTTTAGCTAATGATTTTCCTCTTTCATATTCTTTGTTTTAGTATCCGGATGCAATTAGTTTGGAGGGATTTTCAGTTATTATAGCTCAACTTCTTGGCCTTAATATAGGATTAACATATGATGACCTTAATAATTGTTCTTGTCCAAGGGCAACATGCATAATGAATCAAGAAGCACTGTAAGACTTTTTTCCTTAATTGATTTACATGTACTTTTAAGAAGTTATTTCCAAAATTTGATAATTCTTTACATCATTTTACATTCTAGTCCACATCAAAAATTGCTAATTAAATTTGTAGACATAGACCTGTTTGTAATATTACATTATTATCATTTTAATGTCCATGGGATCAGTTGTGATGACCATTTTTTTCATTTCTGATATTGATAATTTATGTCTTCTCTTTTTCTTTTTTCTTGGTTACACTGCCTAGAACATTAATCTTATTTTATTTTATTTTTTCCTTCAAAGAACCAACTTTTGCTTCTATTAGTTTTCTGTATTGATTTTCTATTTTCAAGTTCATTAATTTCTGATGTATAATTTTTAATTATTTCTTTTCTTTTGCTTACTTTGGGCTTAATTAGCTCTTCTGCTTGAATTTCCTAGGGTAGAAGCTTAGATTATTGATTTTTATATATTTCTTCTTTTATAATACATGCAATCAATGCTATAAAGGCACCTCTATGGACTGCTTTTGTTTCATCCCACACTCATTTTCATTTAGTTCAAAATATTTTAAAAAACCTTGCTTGATACTTCTCCTTTGGTTCATGTTATATGTTAGTTATAATTGTAATGTTCAATATCTAAATATTTTAAATGTTTATAGCTATAATTCTGTTACTTATTTCTAGTTTAATTCTATTGCGGCCTAAAGGTATACTTTGTATTATTTCTATTCTTTTAAACTTAAGGTGTGTTTCATGGCTCAGACCTGTCTATTTTTAAAAATTAGTTTTGCATGAACAGATACCAGTGTTCAAAATTTGCAGCTCTCTTCATGAGTGTGGACTGCAAAAGCAAAATAAACTTTTATGACTACTAAAACAAAATAGTTTAAAATAACAGAGAAAATTTGCTCAAGTAATGTTATTCCTTGTGATATTCTATCAACATTACTTTTTTTGTGCCATTAAAATTGGCTATGTCAGTAAAAGCTAATACATTCTCTTTGTTTAGACTCTTTCAACACTGAAACCTTACCAGTTATATACTTCTTTTTAATGGAGGTTCAGGAAACTACAGAGAATTTTTATCACCTCAGACATAGCTGTTCTGGTGTAAATATTTCAGAAATAATTTTCTAGAGTGTCACTGTCTAATAGAAATAAAATGTGATCTACATATATAATTTAAAATTTTCTTGTATAACCTTGACAAATTAAAAGAAATATCAAATTAAATACAATGATATATGTTAAAAGTTTATTTTATTTAACTCAATATATTCCTACATTGTCATTTTAATACATAATCAGTTTAAAAATTATTAATTGGATGTGTTACATACTTTTTATTTCATAGAGATTGGATATAGGCTGTGGGAGAAAGAAAATAATCTTGGATCATATCAATATTATCAACTCAAGCAACTAGAAGGATGTAGTTGTCAGCAACTGAAAACAGTAAAAAGAAAAGGTTTTGATGAGAAGAGTAGTAATTCGATATTGTACATGTTATATTTGAATATCTATTAAACAAGTCTATTAGACATTCTGGGAGCTCTGGCTTAGTGCCTAAAGCACTTGACTGTTAACCAGAAGACTGGTGGTTCAAATCCCCCAGCCACTCCTTGGAAGGAAGGTTGGGCAATCTACTTCCATAGTGATACCACCTCAGCAACCCAAGGAAGAGTCTCTATGAGTTGGGTCTGACTCGACGGTGCATAACAACAACAACATTAGACATTCCATTGTAAATATATTTGTAAACACAAAAATAACAACCTTCAAGGAACTTATATTTTAGTACAAAATTTAGGTCATCTAAAATAATATTTCAAAATAAAAATTAATAAAAATTTGTTTTTAAATGATGCTAAAATCCTATGTAGAAAAATAATTACAAAAAGCAGAAAGAGAATGTGGGATAGTGTTGTCAAGAAAGATCTCTCTAGAAGGTATCATTTGAGCAGAAACCTGACTGAAATAAGAGAAGGGAAATTTTGGATATTAGCTATATAAGAAAAGGGCACACCAGTTAGAGATAACAAGGAACAGTTTGTATGAGTGCATGATTTTCATTAACTTCTGATGTATATTTTGAAATTCTTTCTTTTTTTTTCCTACTTAGTTTATATATATGTATATAAAGCAGGAGAGAGAGACAGAGAGAGAGTCTCTATGACTTGGAATTGACTCGATAGTGACTAGTATTGTAGTATTGTTTAGAGTTGATTTTATTAGACATATTTACCTGAGGAATATTATTTTATTTTAGCCGTTCCAGTGGTGTAAAAGTTTTTAGCAACTGTAACATGCGTGACTATACATATTTTATTTCAAAATTTGAGCTTAATTGTCTTCAGAATCTTTTACATTTTCAACCATTATATAAAAATCAACCAGTATGTGGTAATGGAATTTTGGAACCTAATGAAGAGTGTGACTGTGGCAGTGAAGAGGTGAGTAATAAAATTGAAACTTGAGTAAAATTTTTATGTATCTAATAAATGGTTGTCGTAGAATATATAGGATGATACATGCAGCTATATTTTCCACATATAATTGAGATGTAAGAATGAAGATATGACGTCTCTTGAATTTAGAAGATAATTAAGTCCTGGAGACTTGGTTTGTCCCAACTACGCCAGGAGACAGCTTTTGAATATATGGATTAAATGAATTATTTTTAATTCACAACTCAGTTCCTAACTCATTTGATCTTATTCTCTTTTCTCTATAAATTCCTCCTAAACTAGATTTTATATCTCCCATTTTGTGTGGTAGGCAATAATGTCAAAATGTTATAATTAATTTCTCTTAATCATTCTGAAACATTGGCTAACATTTGTTTTATGTGCTTGCTTCTAAATATAGATATGCAAGATATTATTGCTATGCTAAGGAGCCCTGGTGGCACAGTGGTTAAAGCACTTGGCTGATAATCAAAAGGTTGGAGGTTTAAACCCACCATCTGTTCCATGGAGAAAGACATGGCAATTGGCTTCCATAAAAATCACAGTCTTGAAAACCCTTTGGAGAAGTTATACTCTGCCATAAAGGGTCACTATGAACTTCAGTAGCTCAGTGGTTAAAGCATTCAGCTGCTAACCAAAATAGGTGATCAAACCCACCAGCAGCTCTGCTGGAGAAAGGTGAGAAAATCTGTTTCTATAAAAATTTACAGCCTTGGAAACTCATAAGGGGTAGTTTCACTAGTCCTATAAGATCACTATGAGTCAGAATCTACTTGATGGCAGTGAATTTGGTTTAGCTTATAGGGTTACTATTAGTAGGCATTGATTCAACAGCACTGGGTTTAGGTTTTGTTTTATTTTGTTTTTTATATAATCACATGAACTACGTATCCAATACACACTATTTCTAAAGAGGTAGGACCATATAATTTAACATAAATGTAAGTTTTTTTTTATGGTATTTAGCAATATTTCTCTAACCAAAGAAAACCAAACCCACTGCCACTGAGTTGATTCTGACTCATAGCAGTCCCCATTGGATTTCCAAGGCTGTATATATCTTTATGGAAAAAGATTGTCTCATCTTCCTCTTGTGGAGCTGCTTGTGGGTTTGAACCACCAACTTTTAGGTTAGCAGCAAAATGCCTTACCCACTAAAGCTAACAGAGCTCCTTAATATTTCCCTATGTAAATAAAATAGTTTCTTTTTTATTACTCCCTACCGGTTACATAAATTTCTTATTCTCCTATCAAGACAGCTGATAACAACATATTAATATATTATTTAATCCTTTAAAGTTCTTTGTATCATTATCCATTCCTTAAAGTAAAGCTTACTTGGTATGACTTTTCTAGCCATAGTCTTTGTAATTCCCACTGGATTACTGTATGGAACCATGCAAATAAATTGTGTAGAAATCTGATGTTGAGATTGGTTAGTTTTGTCACTCTGCAAGGCTTAACATGAGCCTTCCTAGAGGCAGAAAGGGGGGATCTTACTACCATTAAGAGAGAAGAGCTGGAGGTGAAGTAGAGTGCATCTTTGGATCCAGATCTATCTATAGATAGATAACATCCTGGACCTCCTTGACAGATATGCCCGGGCAAAGAGATATACATGGCAGAGAGAGATGTCAGTGGAATCAAGAGACAGAAGACAGAGTGGCAGATTACCTGGCTCACAGAGGGAGAAAACTGAGGGCCCTTGGGCAGGAGGCTTGTTGGCAGAGTGACATGCACCTGGGTGTACCCATCAACAGAGCTAAAAGAGCTTTGTAATACTTGCTGAAGCAGTGCAGAGGCCTGGTTGAGAGGCCAAGGTCCAGAGAGACGTGGCTGACGGGATAGCAGTGGGGAGACTATCCTGATTGAAGGAATATATCCTAAGCACGTTCCTGAAACTGAATTGTAACCTGTTACTTCCCTAATAAACCCCATAATCATGAGCATTGTCTAAAACCTGTGTGGCCATTGAAATGAATTATCAAACCTAGCCAAGAAATAGTGACTGCTGTGGGAGGGACAGTTGGTGTCAGAATTGTTAAAATGGCTGGAAGGTGGTGAGTGGCATGTCTGGCCTCATAGGAATAAGCCTCATGTGACTCTGTTTCCCCCTTGTGAGGTTGGAGGAGGTCAGAATATGCTGTCCCTATGCCCATTTTTGTATATGCATATAGTTGTTCTTATCTCAGGCCATCTCAGTTTTCTGCAAAGCAATACTAACTCATTCTGCATACTCCTACTCCCAAATATAGTGTTTATTTTAGAAATCTGCAAATTATGGCCATTGGGCCAAATCCAGCTGAGTTAGATTTTTATAAATGAAAGTTTTTGTTTGTTTGTTTGTTTTTTTGTTTTAAAATGCATCTATGCCATTTGGGAGCTCTGGTAGCATAGTGGCTAAGACACTTGCCTGCTAACCAGACGGCTGGCGGTTCAAACCCACCAGCCACTCCTCGGAAGGAAGGTTGGGCAATCCTACTTCTGTAGTGATACTGCCTCAGAAACCCAAGGAGGGGTCGCTATGAGTCAGGTTTGACTCGACGGCACATAACAACAACAACAACATGCCATTTGTTTGAATATTGTCCAAGACCGCTTTTGGGCTATAACAGCAGAGATGAGCAGCTGCAAAAGAAACTATATGACACATAAGACAGAAAATCAACTCACTAGGCCACCTGTACTAACTTGGTTCTCTGTCTTAATTTCTACCTTCCCATGGCAGTGATTATGGGGAAGATAGAATAGAACTCCAATGAAGTCCACACTCTTGACTTCCAGGAACCTGTGAATGTAATGCTATATGTCAAAAGGTACTTTTCAGAAGTTACTCAGACTATGGATCATAAAACAGTGATGTAATCTTAGATTATTGAGAAAGTCCTAATGTAATCCCATGAGCCTACTGAAGCTGCCTTTGTGGAGGGAGCAAGTAAACAGGAAGCATGAGGAAGACTTCGTGTAGAGTCTAGGGAAAAAAAAAAAAAAAGTGCCCCTGGCTGACTGCCAGCACAGAAACTGAAAGTCCCAGTCCTTCAATCACAATGAATCATAAACAGATATTTTTCCAGAATCTCCAATAAGAAGCTCAGCCTTGCCAACCCCATTAGTGGCTGAGTATAACCATTGCATAGAGTTGTGTTGGCTGTAATCTTTACAGAAGCCTTTCTTCTACAGCATCACTCTTTGGATTTGAACCATCAACCTTTAGGTTAGTAGTTGAGTGAAAACTGCTTATGCCACCCAAGGGCATAAGTCTGGATAAGGGAGAGTTCATTAATAGGAAGTTACTTTCTGATGAATCAGCACTTAACACTTCAGCAAGAAACCTTGGGGCAGTCCTAATATAATGCTGGGTGGATCCTTGGAGACTGGAAACAATCTGCCATTTTATAATAGAAAATAAAAGTAGAAAATTCAGCAACTGATTGGTTGAATGACCCAGAGCACAATCCCTTCACAAAATCAATAAGAAATTGCACTACAGAGGAGGTCTTAGCATTTTGTTGTGAAGCTCAGTGGTAGCTTTCTTCTGTTATCAAGCATTGATGGCTGGAGGTGTCATTAAAAAGCTGGGATCCTGAAAGTCACTATACATCTTGGATTCCAGAATAGAAGAAGCCAAATGGCAGCACTTAACCGTAACAGTCAAGATGGATGTAATTACCATAATGGGAAGTGGGTTGTAGATGGCAACTGTGGGCCTTGAATTACATAAATAATGAATGATGATATTACTTGACATATGTAAATAAAAATTAAAGAAGCAAGCAGAGAACTGGAATCAGCTGCTACAAATAGATAATCAGTCCCTTGCCATGGTGACACAGTGATTAAAGCACTCAGCTGTTAACTGAAAGTTGACAGTTTGAAACCACCAGCCACTCTGCAGGAGAAAGATGTGGCAGTAGGCTTCTGTAAAAGTTTACATTTTTAGAAATTCTATGGGGCAATTCTATTCTGTCCCACAGTGTTGCTATGATTCAGAACTGACTGGAATGGTTGTTTTTTTTCTGCCAAATACCCATATAAAAGTCAGCTCTCCCAGCCAAAGTTCACTGTTTTAGTAAAAGATTGGCAATGATGTAGTGCAGCTATTTCCTCAATTCCTCCCTCAAAGTGCCCTGTAATCATTTACTAGAGTAACTGTACACTGTGGAATGAGGAATTGTATTATTACAAGAGGTTGGTATATAGAATCTGTGTTCACAGTGTTCATATAGAAGAACCCAAAATATTATGGTTAAAATGATGGTATAGAGAGTTCAGGTGATAACTGGAGACTTGGAAAAACTTCATCTCTCAGGGGTCTAATGGATCTGTGGTCACAAAAACTTCTCCAGTATCTGAGTGAAAAATATGTTTGGGTATATTTATAAGTTGTCAGATTCACACATTTGTCTCCTGAATTGTGTAATATGAACTGTGGGGTAGAAGGATAAGAGATGCCACATAGAAACATTTGAAGTTTCCTGATCATTAAGAAGTAATATTATGTCCCTGGGTGATACAGTTTACTTTCCCCTACTGACTTAAAGGTTGATTGATTGAATCCTGCAGAAGAAAAACCTGGTGATCTACTTCTGTAAAAGTTATAGCCAGGAAAATCTATGGTGTAGTGCTACACTATAACATAAGGAGTTGTTATGAGTCAGAATTGATTTGAAAGCAATGGGTTTTTTGTTTGTTTATTTTGGTTTTAATATATGCTGATACAAAGAATTAAATAAGAAAATAGAAAGTAATTTGAATTGTATATAAGTGAGGTGAAACAAAAATACAGATCAAAGTCTATGCTGACGGTGCTGAAAACAGAGAAAACAAAGCTCTAACATGGTTTGAATGATAGTATATGGATGCCAAATATTAACTAGGATCCTAGCAAATATTCATCTCCAGTGGGTCCAAAGGATCTGTGGACCCAATCTAAAATGAAAATGGAACACAACATATAAAAATCTGTATAATGCCAATAAAATCTA